GAGGCTTGCGGAGGTCGAACGTTTCGTTGTGTTGGAGCACAAGAGGGGCTTCCAAAAGGCTGCTCGTCAGGCACGGCTCCTTGCTCCTGGGTTCGACTTTTCCTCCATGCATGTGGAGAAGGTCGTCCGCTTTGGGAGGCTGGTCAAGGAGGACGATGTCGATGACAGTTCTAGTGGGAATGCCTCAGCCTAGGCTTCCTCTGTAATAGCTTAGTTTATTTTTCTTTTTCTCGGATTTATGTATTGAACCTTGAGAACTTGGCTTGAATGTATATATATATGCATTTTTCTTCGTCTGCGTCTGCGTTTGATTCTTTGTTATTTATGTATTCTCACTGTTTTGAGTTGACCATGTCGCGGTTTGAAGTTGGTCTTGGTTATTTGTTGTGAAAGTTCAAACTCATCGTCAGATTAGCGTGTTAGGCTTTGCATCCGACCTTAAGTAAATGCGTTAGGGTTCGAATGCGACCTTAGGTGGGGACATCGAGGTTCGTACTAGACCTCGATTTTTGGTCCGTGCTTGACCTAAACTTTGAGTAAAACGATTTAACTAAGGTTCGAACTCGACCTTAGGCGATGGCATCGAGGTTCGTACTCGACCTCGGTTTTGGTCCGTACTCGACCTAAAATTTGAGTAGCACGATTTGATTAAGGTTCGAACTCGACCTTGGGCGAGGGCGTCGAGGTTCGTATTCGACCTCGAATTTGAGTGTTTAAGGTTCGTATTCGACCTCGGATTTGAGTGAAGCGGTTGTCGAGGTTCGTATTCGACCTCGAATGACGCGGTTCAGACTCGACCTTAAATAAATAGATGAGAATGCTTAGGGGTCGTATTCGAGCCTCAAATAAACGCGTTAAGGTTTGAACTTGCCCTCAAATGAAAATATCGAGGTTCGTGTTTGACCTCGGATTTGGTTCGTTTAAGGTTCATTCTTGACCTCATATTTGAGTAGAATGATTTAATTAAGGTTCGAACTCGACCTTTACCGGAAGTGTCAGAATTCGTATTCGACCCCGGGTGACGAGGTTCGGACTCGACCTCAGGTTTGAGTAGAGAGAATTAAGGTTCGAACTCGACCTTTACCGAAAGTGTCGGAGTTCGTATTTGACCCCGGGTGACGAGGTTCGGACTCGACCTCAGGTTTGAGTAGAGAGAATTACGGTTCGAACTCGACCTTTACCGGAAGGGTCAGAATTCGTATTCGACCCCGGCTGACGAGGTTCGGACTCGACCTCAGGTTTGAGTAGAGAGAATTACGGTTCGAACTCGACCTTTACCGGAAGGGTCAGAATTCGTATTCGACCCCGGGTGACGAGGTTCGGACTCGACCTCAGGTTTGAGTAGAAAGATTTAATTAAGGTTCGAACTCGACCTTTGACGAAAGTGTCAGGGTTCGTATTCGACCCCGGGTGATGAGGTTCGGACTCGACCTTAAGTGAGAATATCGAGGTTCGTACTCGACCTCTTATTTTGCGTGTTCGACGTTTGTACTCGACCTCAAATTTGAGTAGAACGATTTAGTTAAGGTTCGAACTCGACCTTTAGTGAGAAATTCTAAGGTTCTTACTCGACCTCTTATTTTGCGTTCGCTCGTTTGAGGTTCGTTTTCGTCCTTTATACAAGCAGGAAAATAAGAATACAGATTGAATAAAATGAGTGATTTTATTTATTACGTCTGTGTGCCTCGTTAAAAACCCTCTCGGTCAAAGACTGAGGCGGGAAAAAAGTGCACAACTTTGTTCATATGGAAAAAAGAAATGAAACTTAAGGAGCTACGGTGGGAGGATCCCTCTTGCTTTGCTTGCTGGACGAGGAGATCTTCAGGCTCTCGGCGTAACATTGTCGAGCTGTCTTCTGATTTGCTTTGACGGTGATGGTCTTACCGTCATTCCCTGGGAACTTCATGGTGAGGTGTGGAGTGGACCCCACCGCTCCGAGCTGATTCAGGGTTGGCTTCCCAATAATGATGTTATAGGAGGTGTTGGCCTCCACGAGGAGGTATCGGACCATGATTCTCCTTGTGTCCGGAGGTACTCCGAAGGTTGTCAGTAGGTCTATGTACCCGTGAGTGTGAACTCGCTCTCCTGCGAAACCGACTAGGGGCTTCGTGTGAGGTTGGATAAGGGAATGGGGGACGTCCAGCCTGTGGAACGTCGGCCAGTACAGGACATCGACCGAACTTCCTTGGTCAATGAGTGTCTTCTGCACTTTCCAATTGGCGATTTCCACGACGATGACCATGGGATCATCTTGGTTAGGACTGATACCCGCGTAGTCCTCGTCGGAGAAAGAGATCGGCAGTGAGCTTAGGTGCGAGGCCGAGGTAGTAGAGTGGACGCAGTTGATGCTTCGCAGGTGCCTTCTCCGAGCTGAGCTGCTGGTGCCTCCCCCAGCAAAGCCACCTGCAATTGTGTTGATTACTCCCCGTAAGGGAGCTGACTCTGTCTCTTGGCTTATCTCGGCTTGTACTACGCCGCTGGCATTTTGCTGGAAGCCTTGGTGTGGGTCAGTGCGAGCTCCCGAACCATGGCCTCTGCCCCGCCCCCGACTGCCATAGCCGCCTCTGTTACCCTTTTGTCGCTGGACGTATTGGCCGAGGTGACCGGCTTGAATGAGCTCTTCGATGCGATCCCGGAGTGTGCGACACTCCTCTGTGGTGTGACCATGGTTCTTATGGTACCGGCAGTGCTTGGACTTGTCGGTGCTGTTAGGAGTGTGACCCGGTGGCGGAAGGGCGAGCAGGTTGTTGTTGCTGGCTTCCTCCAGGATGTGAACCCTAGGTGCGTTCAGGAGAGTGTAGAAGTCGTATCTCCCCCCTCTGTTTTCCTTAGTCGACTTCTTGAACTGACTATCATTGTTGACTTTGATTTTATCCTTATGCCCTTGTTCCGACTTCGCCGGGCCTTTTCTGCGAACCTGGTCACGGAAAGCGGAGTGCTCCTCCATCTGGATGTACCCGGGCGCGCGCGCACGGAGCTCGTCCATATCGCGGGGGGAGGGGGGGTCTCGGCACAGGCTGTCAACGAAGGGGCCTGCTTTGAGAGCCATGAGCATGGAGTGCAGGGCGACTTCGGGATTTAAGTTCCGGATCCTCACCGAGATGCTAGAAAAGCGCTCCATGAAGGTTCGCAAAGGTTCGTCATCGTTATGCCTGAGGTTGGCCAAAGCAGTCGAGGTTGTGTGGTAAGGTCGGCTTGTGGCGTATTGCGTCGTGAACCGCCGGATTAGGGTGCTGAAACTGTCGATGGACTTGGCGGGTAGTTGGGTGTACCAGTGGAGTGTGGCTCCCTTAAGCGAGGTCGGAAAAACCCTGCATAGGATAGCATCACTGTTGGTGTAGAGGTTTACCTGGGTTGTATATAGGTCGATGTGCTCATCGGGGTCCGTCGTGCCGTATAGCGGTTGAGATGGAAAGGCTTCCATCCGCGGGGGAGTGGGGTCTCCATAATGCCGTCCACGAAAGGATGACGGCGGAAGGTTTCTTGGCCTTTTGTGACATGAGTGGGGGTTATGCTGACGTCGTGGCCCGACTTGTGTGTCGATGCGTGAGATCGGTGCGTGGCTGGTCGTGAGGTCGGTGCCTTGGTCGTAGTCCGGGCTTGAGAGGCCGAGTGTGCCTCGTCTTCATGAATGTTGCTCTCGTGAGGAGAGTGATCAAAGGGGCGTCGAGGGAGTTGGGCGCGAATGCGCTCGTTTTCTTCGCGTAACGCTGCGAGGTCTGCTTCGTTGGCTGTCCGCATTGCCACTAGATCGGCTTCGTGCTGGGCACGCATGTTGTGCAAGTCGGTGTCGTGTTGTTGTCGCATCTGTTCGACTTGGTCGATCAGTCTCCTCAAGGTTGCAACGTCGCTGTCCATGGTGATTGAGTGATCTACGTCGTCTGTCGCGCGTCTACTATGACTTCTGGTGAAAACCATACAGGTGGCCGATAAGAGCTGTCTTGATCGGCCCCACGATGGGCGCCAAATGTTCTTACCGGAATCTGTCGTAGGGACGATCTTCCAAGCAAGATTGGTGAGCCTCCTTCACTAGTACGCTTGATGCTCCAAGATGAGGGTGGTACCTGTAAAAGAGACTCCGATGCTAAAGTTAGGGTTTGTATGAGTATTAGTCTCGTATATATAATGCACGTACCTTGGTGTGATTTAGGGTTACTTCTAGCTTTGGGCCTGAAATAAGATATAATATGGTATAATATGATTAAATGGTGGATCTCATCTGGGGCGAGATCCTTGGGGATCGGTTATGATTTGCTTAAATACCGAGCTGACGTCGCGTAGCGCGTGCCCGAGGTCGTCTTGCGTTGCTGTGCCGAGCTCAGAGCTTGGCTTTGTAGCACGGATAGTACAATAAGTAACCTTTTAAATATTACTTTGTTGTAATTTGAAGATATACTAAACACTTGCTTTAACAAGGATTGTTATAGGGAAAATACATTTGTGTTGAAGGAACTAGACATATATATATATATATCTTGTTGAGGAGCAAACTAGTATAATTTTATGTTTAAAGATTTTTTCTCTCTATCATTCGTATCACATTGTTTTCCGACAACATTTTTTTAGAAATTATAATATAAAATTGTTCGCTGAAAGATTTTCAAGTCATAACATACGTATAATTCGACCTCTAATTCTTGTGTGTTAGCTTTTACTTCATATTCTCTACCACTAATATAGTAGGAAAAAACGAAAAAGGCCTTGACTTATATACCTGCTAAATTAGATATAGACCTTGTGTCTTTTGTACAAATGGATCAAGTTTGGTGGCTCTCAAATGGAGATGAAAGTGACGGGTCAATTTAGGAATTAGAAACTATATTGGTTAATGGCTATTTAATTTTCCCCCCTAACTTTTGGATACAATTAACAATATGTGCAGCTGTGAATTAATTGAGATTTTCCATTTGATGTTTGAAATGATATTTCTACCTAATTAAGAGACGAGTAATATAAAGAAGACCAATCACGTACGATATTGCAGATTTGACGTGACAATATGTGAATGCACGAGAAATCAATTCACAATCACTGTTCTCTTTTATTTGTTACAATAAAAGCATTGATCTCTTTAATATCTAATATCCTATGATGTCAAGTTCCTCGTAACGTGTCCCTTCCCAGTGACAACATTTTTTTTTTCTTTTCGGCTTTTGGTTAACAACAACAACATTGAACCTAAATCTTAAAAGACATCTACTCCAGTTCAATTCAAATTGCTCCACAAATTAGTTGACACTTTATTCTCTTATTCCATGGAAATCGTGGACCTAACCTATCTTACGATAAATAAATTACATTGACACTGCAAACTGTGAGTCAAAAATACGATTGAGAGTTGCAGCCAATCGAACTCCTCCTTGTGCCAACCGCAAATTGACTATTGGGAAACGAGACAAGAAGTAATCATCTGCAAAGTACATTTTCATGGTATAGTGAGAAAAAAAATGTATAAGAAATTAAAATTTTCTTGGCTACAAATTTTTCATAACTCACCTTCAAGTACTGAGCCTTCACTAGCATCTTCATACGCCCATTTGCAGGCATCTTTGGCGCTTTCAGATGCATATCTAAAAAATTGACCCGTGTTAGTCACTTATATTTTGCATACAAAATAAGTTAGTAATTAGGAAAAGAAAAAGTGGCAAAAAAGAAAAATAAATATTAATCGAGTGTTTGAAAAGACAGGATATTAATAATCACTGTGCATTGATATTTTTGAATAACATGAGAGACTATTAAAATATGAGTTAATTACAATACAAGTGTAAAAAAATTTTATACTGATAATCAATTATATCTTTTAATTGTGTAATGTCACTATAAACACATTTATTTTTAACAATGACATGATACAATTAAAAGATATAATTGGTTGTCGATGTAAAAAATTTTATATTGACATAGTATAAGTGATTAACTCTTAAAATATATAGTTGATATTTTCTTTATTTTTTTTCTCTAGGAAACTGTGAATCCATGATTAATAACTCATTTGAAGGTATATAGTGAAAGAGAGAGATTTAAAGATAAAGTAAAATATGAGAAAAAATATGTGATAAAGCAAAAATAATGTTCAGACACAACGTTAGTCGACACCACTCTAGTATATATAAAAGCATTAGTTTACGGTTTTAGAAACAATTTACAATCAAAATCTTAATTACCAAGAGAAATTTTAAAGAGAAACAATAAGTTATTCCTAAAAGTTAAGTAAATCGAAAGCAAAAGGTATAAAAGAAAAGTTACATATATATTTTTTCGTTAGTTAAAGCATTATTCTTTGAAAACAAAATGTTTGATTTAAATGATCCGATCTAATAATAGATTCTAACGGAACATACATGACTGGACATGGTATGTCATCGTTACTGCAGTTCGCCCATTCCTCTACTTCATCAGCCCATACTTTCTGTTTATTCAAAAAGAAAAAGAAAATTCAAATTAAACTTCAATTTTCGTCAGCCAAATCTTTAGATTGAAGATAACAAAAGATGCCACAAACAATACCGTAATATTCTTTTGAATGGCATCAACGAAGTCGTCCAAGTCATCATAGAATCTTTCAAGTTCTGTCTCAATTATGCTAGAATCCCAAACCTGTACGCATATATGATATATAATATATAAACTATATATTTACGACGGGGTGTTAAAAGAAAATATTGTTTCATGGTTGAGGAAAATTAGAATTTGACTAACATGGTGAAGATTTTGCTTTCTTTTGTACCAGTGAACAGTGACATCATTGCCACCCCTGTCTGAGACAAAGCCACAATGAAGAGGCTGCAGATTAATGTATAGAAATTAGAAAGTCATTATTATAGAAATATGGTTGAAAATTCTATAGAAGCATGGTATATGGGTGATTTAATTAATTAACCTTGTATATATAGATCTACATAGATGCATAAATATATGTATACCTGATGGATGTCTCCCATAAAATGTGAAAGGAATAGTAGAGATTGAGTGAGATTATCTGATATCGGGAAGTTAACATAAATTTAAACAAAAATTGTTAGTGTGAAAACAAGATACATAGAACAATTCAAGGGGGAGACAACATTAGTTTGAAACAAGGATTTACATTTAGATTTAGTATCACTGTCATACTCTAGGAGCTGGTTGGTGTAATTGGTAATTGCTGCCACAACACATCGCCCCTTAGTTCCAGTTTTGTTATCTACACAATCCCCTGAAATTCAATACAATTATCTTATTTTCCAAAACAAAATTGTGGTTAAGGATCCATAAAATTTCAAATATGAACCAATCTTATTTGTAATTTTTCCCAGGCTATTATTGTCGTGAGCGCCCGATTTACATGTATGATCTCAGTTTTACCAAAGGGTTGACCCGGAAAGTGGATTTTGTCAGAAAAATTGATGCTTTTAGCATTGATAAATTAACTAATTTGGTAACAAAATCCATAATTTAAGAGAGTGTGGAGAGAAGGAGAAGAATGAGAAAGGAAGTTACTGCTATCCTTGTACTTGCAAACGTTGTCGGGAGTATCAGCAAAATGCAAAGGAGAAGACCAAGGAAAGACCACCCTAACATCATCAGCCCAAGAACACTTGCTAGACAAGTCGTTATTTGCAGATTTTGGCAACAATTTCTTCACAGCCTCTGCAGCTGCAGTGCTGAGTCGAGCCTGTTAAAAATAAAAAATGAATTTTGTGATTGACACTATGTTATGCTCATATTTCTTTGTTAATATGGTCTATTTTAAACTTAAACTTTGATAGATTTACTTTTATTGACATATATTTCTCCTCTTATTTTACTAATTTGATTATTGAACATTCAGACTCAAAAGAAGTTAAAGACAAGAAGGTAGGTAGGCACCTGAGCAATCTTACAAACAATGGCATGCCCTTCGTCTCCCCATCCTTGGGTATTTGGAAGCAAAAGCATGAACGAAACTATGGCCACTAGCTGAACTCTATTCATTGTTCTCTACTCTACAAAACCTCAGGCATTTACATATGAATATATACAGAGAGAGAGGAAATATCAATTTATTCTATGAGTATTTCTATCTAAACTTAGTGTATTCAATAATTCATGTTTTACATCAAATTTCAATGATCAAATCGTTAATTTAAAAGTTCTTAGTATTTAGATCAAGTTTACAAATTTTTTAAAAATTTAAAAATCATTAGATACTTCATTTTATCAATTCAAATTGACGAATAATTATAAAATTATTTTATATATAAATTTAAATTCATGAAACAAAATATCAAATAAACTTTAATTTTTTTAATAATTTATAAACTTGATCTATATATTAAGAATTTTAAATTCAAGAATTAAATCATTAAAATTTGATGTAAAATATAAATATTAAATTAAGTAAATATAAATAAACTTATTTTAAAATAAACGGGTTTCTCCTTTTTTTATATATATATATATATGAGAGATTATTTAAAATATGATTAGTGTCAAATAATTTAAAATTAAAATTTATTAAAAGGTGGTTGGTGGGATAGCACATAGCTCATAGCTCCAAAGAATACAAATTAATCTGATTGGCTATTAATTAAGTGTACTTATCCGCGTTGCTTGCTTAATCACCAACTCCAAGTGAGCCGTGTGTTAGATCATAGTTGGCAAGAGGGTTAATGTTATCAAAGGCAATCTATGCAAGTAATATTTTAGGTTAAATTCACTTTTCGGCACCGTAGTTTTTCGAGATAAAATTTTGTTCTCTAAAATTTTGTTCAAGTTGTCAACATGGACGTTGGAGGGTATTGTGCGTGTGGAAAGCATGGTAGAAATATTAATATATTATAATGTCTCCAAATTCTAGGCCAGAAACAGCTTAATGTCTTGATCAACTAAAAAGCTAGGTTTTTAATAGACTTTCATTTCATGCCTACAATAACTAAAATTTTGATTTGGCCGTACATAAATGGCCATGTGCGTGACCTTCATAGTTTTTTTTTTTTTTTCAGAAAAGATAGATCGTCCGAAAAGTGTTCCGAAAATTATTTCGAAAAAATAAAATATTACTTTAAATTAAATAATATTAAATTAATAATTATTTTATAATAAATTTATTATAAAATATTAATATTTTATCATTTTGGAACATGATTCGGAATCTGTTTTCGGAGGATGAAGCACGACTTTTTTTTTTTTTTTTCGTTTAATGCACAAGTGTTACCCCATAGTCATAGTCATGTGTGAAAAAAAAAATCTTTTATTTATTTATTTATTTTATACTTCATAAAATATAAAGACGAAAAAAAGTGAGATAAAATAACTTTTTCTTGAATAACCTCCATACTTCTTTTCAACAAAAGGACACTTAATTGCACTACCACATCCCTTGAACATGAAACTCTACCAAATGGGGTTAAAGGACTTTTAAAGGAATTTAATGATGTATTTCTTAAAGAAGGTCTGAAGGGATTACCTCTTTTTAGGGAAATATAACATCAAATTGTTCTTACTCTTGGAACTAGCCTACCCAATAAGTTAGCCTATTGGACCAATTCCCAAGAAGCTAAAGAAATAAAGTCTCAAGTTCAAGAGTTGTTGGATAAGAGTTGGACTCAAGAAAGCCTTAACCCTTTGTACAGTTCTTATGCTTTTGGTGCCAAGAAAGATAAGAATGGAAGATGTGTTGTGATTGTAAAGCCATCAACAATATGCAATTAAATATAGGCACCAAGTCCCTAAGCTTGATGACATATTGGGTGAATTTCATGGTTCCACTATTTTCTCCAAAATTGATCTTAAAAGTGGTTATCACCAAATCAAGATAAGAAAAATGTATAAGTGGAAAACTCCTTTTAAAACCAAATTTGAATTATATGAGTGGCTAGTAATGCCTTTCGGGCTTACTAATGTACCATGTAAATTCATGAGATTAATGAATCATGTCCTATGGGATTGGATAAGAAACACGTAAGGGTAATTTAGCATACAAAAGAAATAACCATATAATAAGCATAAAAGGAATGCAACTATACTATATGCACCAACGTGTTAACCAAACAACACACTTTATAGTTTACATCATAGAAACACAACATTATTATTGTGTCATGGCAAAACCCACCTTTCAAAGGCAAACAACTTATTCATGATAAAACATATCAACTTACATCACAATTATGTCATTCAACAATTATCCTCGTGATACCATGCAGTTTTCTAGTAATCGATTAAGGGTTTTAACCCTCGACTTCATACTGTTAAGTCAGACGAAGCGCATTCACAAATCGCACCAAAGTTTTGAAATGACAAATATAATACATATTGTTATTACTAACATGTGCATTAGTGTTTCAGTTGGATAACAAAAAGTTCAAACAGTGAAATATGATCAAGCATAATCTGGCTAGACAAAATATCAGACGATAGAAAGGCCAATATCAAGACTAAGTTTGATTCAGGCACATATCAAGATACAAAGTCTATCAGCAGAAGTCTGAGGCATCAGACGCAAGTTGGCCAAACATCAACATGAAGTGACCATCAAAAAGAACCAAGTAAACTAGAAGACAAATTTATCACTTCCATACCCAAACAAAAAGGGTAGTCAAGATCAAACAGAGTAACCAGACGGTGTCAAGAATATAGAAGCTCGTCCGAAGTCCAGTAATCACATTGAAAGAAATCATACAAGAAACACTAGAGGACATCAACGTGAATAAAAATAGGCAATCATGCATTCACAAGTCAAAGCTGAGTGTGTCAGAGGAAGGACACCTACTTTTCAGAAAAAGACAACACTGCAATGGCTAAACTGCTGAGAAAAGTACAAATATATCTAGATCATGATTGAAATCAGATACCAAAGTAATCAATTGCACAGAGAGTCTCCACGAATACAAGCAAACATTTAATGCAAAATCAAATGCATTAAATGAGGAGATTTTCATGAACATGAACAAAGCCTCCATCTACAACGACACGAAGCTACGCTCCAATGAAAAAATTCAAATTCAAACAATGAGTAGATTTATCAAAAGCGTATAAGTATCAAGGCCAAGAAAAAGAATGAGAACAAGGAAAAAAATGTGTAATACAAAAAGAAAAGAAAGTCAAGAGGATAAACTATTTTCCCTCTCAAAGTACTTCCTGTATACCTGTGTAAAAACTAAGATAGCTTATCTTAGTGGTGTTGCTAATAGTTCATCCTCTCTACGAGAGTAACCAAACACTTAGACACTTATCCCTGTAAAACTAAGGTTGCGCACCTTAGTGAGTGTAGAAATTATCCTATCCTCTTTGTGAGAGTTATAAACACACTCAATACCCTCAACTGCTATAAAGCTTGAAGAGGCTGATAGAAAAAAATACTTATGAACCAAAAGTGGTTGATAATACTAGCGTTGGTGAGTGAAGCTAACGGACCAGGAGTGGTCAAGAATACTTGGAGAACCAGAAGTGGTTAAGAATACTAGCTTCTAGTTGACGAGCCAGAAGTGGTTGAGAATACTTTTAATCCTTTGTAATTAGTGAAACCTTTCTGCGGAAGAAAACTAGACGTAGCTCAGATTGAGTGAACCAGTATAACTGTCTGTGCATTCTTTTCATTTTTTTTATTACTCACTTTGCTCTTGTTCTATTTCGTTTTTCAACAAAGCATTAGACGAGAGCATATTTGTCCTTGTTGAAACTACTTTTACTAGACGATAAAGTCTTCTAGACAGAAAACTAATTTACTTAGCCTTTTACGTTGAAAATCAATTTTACTAAACAAGAAAACTCACTTGACAGAAAAGTCTACTTAAGTTTTCCAACCAAAATTGCTCTTGCAAAAGAACTTTAAAATTTTCCTTCTAACACAAACACACACATTCAACCCCCTCCCCCTTCTGTGTGTATTTCTACTAACTTCATATACCTTACTCCAACATTAACTAAGGATCTAAAGGAGACTCAACAATCCACTCCAAGAGTTAACACCTACTCGAGGAGGGTTTTTCAACAACTTGCCTTATAGAGAACCACACCAATATCCACACTATGAGATATTCAACTTTCGAAAACATTGTCTGCTCTAGTATTAAGTCAATCAACATGCCTAAATACTTATAGCATTTTCACTATCAACACCTCTACGATCATAATCATGCAACATATCATGCCTAAATGCCTAAAACATTTACAACATCACACCTCAACTCTTTGCATCTCCCACACCGATGCCATTCAATCCACACCCAATGTGGATAAGTTAGGGAACCCCTAGGCCTTAATGCTAGGCATAGAAAAATCTATGCTCGGACCCATTCCAGGAAGAGACTAGTCTCTTTCCTTACGCCCAACATCACTTCTTTGACACTTGACACCAATTCAATCATAACCAATTCTCTCACCTCATGCCTGGTGTCATTCAAACCATGCTCGGTATGGCTAAGTTAGAGGCTTTTCTCTCTCCTCACGCCCAACGCTACCAATCATGCACTTGGCGTGAACAAGAAAAGACCCCCTTATTTGAGCCATGTCCGATGCGATGACGAGTTTTGCACTTGTAGACTCACAAATTTGGTTCAAAATACCTTAAATTTAGAAAATCTAAAGCATGCAATCCAATATATTAATTACATATATTCATCATCAACAACAAAATCAACATGCAACCAAGGTTGATCAACAATCACCTAAATCGCCCCAACATGCTCAAGTGACCCAAAAGTCTCACTATGCAAGAATTTAATCTTTGAACCACCAACATAGTCAACGACTTAGATAAATTTAAACACATTGAACAACCAACTCAATCAATGTTCAAGTTCTAACTTCTCTTACCTCAAAATAAAAAAGAAACGAGAAAGAGGAAGAAGAACAAGCTCTAAACTTTGGGATGCTCTACACAACACCACAACATTGATTCTCAGCTACAAGTTTCGAATCTCACCCAATAACGATTCTCAATGACTCTTGGGAAGCTAAGAAGAAGAAGAAAAAGAAAACTTTTAGAGCTCCAAAATTTTTCACTACTCCCTCTTTAAAATTCTTTGAGAAATGAGTTTACGAGGCTTAAATTTCAAAAGAAACATTATATACTTTCTTCCTTTAAACCAATTGAATCTCTACCTAGAGAATCCCTCTAAAACATCTAAAATCTCATTAGAAGTTCTTTAACTCCCAAATTCTCTCAACACCACACATCATAATACCATAACATATAACTATTGCTGCTAGAAATTAATTCACAAAAATTTAGTTACAAAAACTACTAGGATATATATCATTTACACATCTATATTTTGTTTAATTTTAGATAATATGTTAATAAATGAAACAACATTACTAAATTTTAAAATTTAAGAGAACCAAATTTGCTATAGAAAAAAATTGAGAGAATAAAGTTACACATTTGTAAAATTATAAGGACAAAAATGGATTTAAATATAATATTTTGAGGTTATTATATATGAATATATAATTATTTTTTTTATCCATTTCATTTTCATTATTAACCATTATATCTTTTATTTACTTTTTTTTTTTTCCCTTTTCACATTCTTTCATGTTCTTTCTATGATCCTCTATACATTTGCTATTCGTAAAGACCTCTCATTTGCTATTCGATTTTCATAATTTAGAGCTTTGGGAGAACATGGGCGTTCTTGGTTTTTTGCGTGTGGAAAGCATGGTAGAATATTATAATCTCTCCAAATTCTAGGCTGGAAACAGGTTAAGCTGTCTCTCAAAAGCCAAGGTGCTGGACCTACTTAACGTCTGGCCTAACTAAAAAGCTAGGTATTTAAATAGACTTTCATTTCATGCCTACAATAACCAAAGTAAGACTTAAACTTTGTTTCTTAATATATAGCCTGTCAAACTTGGTTTGGCCTTACATAAATGGCCACGTGCAAGGAAATGGCTTGTGTTGTGCATGACTTTTTTAATTAGTTTTTTTTCCCGTTTCATGCTCAAGTGTTATGAATCGCCATATGTGAAAGAAGACAATCTTGTATTTATTCATTTATTTAATGCTTAAAAAAAATGTAAAGTGGAAATATAGAATAAAAAACTACACTATAATATCTAAGATATTCATAGTATCAACTGGCAAAAGAGAGGGTTGCTTACCTAAACTTGAATGAATTGATCATGATGGTATCATGTTTTAGCAAGAAATTAGCACAAGATTTAATTTCTTAAAGAACATACTTATAACTAAAAATCAAGTTTAAAGAAATATATCGTTAGAGATCATGAAAAAACAATCTTTAATATGGATATGAAAATCATATTTAGTAAAACCAATTTATAATTAAGTTAATTAAAAATTCATAAGATAATTAAAGTTTGCTAAGATTTGTTGATAAGTTAACTGATAAATATTAAATAGCATAAAAGAATATTTTTATTTATAAGAATTAAATACAATGATGATAATAGGTTTGAATTTAAGATTGACATATTACTTTTGTCTTATACATAACAAAAAAAAGTCTACTTAGTTACTAGTATTTGGACATGTTAAATGTTTATTATGTGTAATTAAATTTTATAATAATTATATAAATAAATATTACGTTTGAATATATATAAACATTATATTTGAATATATAAATTTTATGTAAAACATGTATAAATAAATATCTTTTAAACATATAAATTATATTTTAAATAAAATAAATATAACATATACAAATTAAATTATATAAGAATTTTAAAAAATCCCTAAAAGTACTTTCATCATAAAAAACACTTGTATAAATACTTTTATTCTGATATATCTAAAAGTCTCACATCCTTTAGAAATTGAAATAGAGGATAGTTTATAAATATCTTATCTCTTTTACCCACAAATGCATTTTTTTAAGAATAAAATTATAATAATCCAACGAACACAAAAAACGAATAATACCTTAGACGTGGTGACTAAAGGGCTTATTCTGATATGCCTAAAAGTCTCATATCAATTTTAATAGTATTTTATAAACATTCTCTATCCTTAACTTACCGAGACATCTTTTTAAAGATAAAAGTGTAACGGTCTAACAAGTGTCAAAATAGATAATATTTCAAATACCATGACTCTATTGATACCAATAGATTTATAGTCGAAACAACTTTGATACAAAATAACTATTTGCCTTTAATATATAAAGATTATTAAGCTAAAAAAATTCAAATAAGTAAATTAAAATAAAAACAAAAAATTTAATAACTTTAAGCTAGATTATTTTCATAAGTACTTTAAGTAATTTATGAAAATAAGTTTTCTTATTTTTGATAACTTATGAAAATAAATTAAAATTATTAAAATAAATTTGTGTATAAAAAAAGTTTATTTCATCAAGTTAATTTATAAAATTTATCAATATACTGTGATACATATTTTTAATACTAATTAGTATTTTAGCATGTGAAATATAAATGTTAAATGTTTATTATATATAATTAAAATTTTTGATAAATTATATATATAAATAAATTTTATGTTTGATTATATAAATTATATTTAAAATTTGTGTATATATATATATATATATATTTTAAAACATATAAAATATATTTTAAATTTAAATCGTAACACTATTATTTTTATTTATTAGTAATTCATTTAAAAAAAATTAAAATTTAATTCATAAACAATTATAATAACCCAAAATTAAATTACATAAGAAATTATAACTTTTAAAAAAAATTGTTAAAGAAATTTTTGCAAAACATTTTCATATAAAATAATCTTTGGTGTTTAATATAGGTTAAATTATATTTTTATTTCTTTGTTTTCTTTTTTTAGGTATGTTTTGGTCTTTTATTTGTTAAAATATTTATTTTAGTCTTTTATCTTTTAAATTTGAATCAGATTAGTACTTTTAAAATAATGATAATTTTTAATTTTGCAGCATAATTTTAAATCAATTTTTGATCAATTCAAGTTGTCAAACTTATAATATCAAATTCATTTATATAAAAATTATGAAATATAATTGACATTTGAATTCAAAAGATCAAAAATATAATAAAAATCATGTAAAAAATATATCTTATAAATAATTAGAAAATAATATGAAATTAAATTTTTTAAACTTTGTGATATTCATCATGTTTATGACACTTTAGATTTGAATTTTAACTGTATTCAATAATTTTCATATAAATAAATTTATAAGACAAATTTTAAGTATTGAATTAGTAAAAAAATTAAAAGGAGTAAATTGATTTAAATTTAAGAGAAAAAAGACTAAAATAAATATGTTAAAAAATAAAAGATCAAAATAAATTTAAAAAATATATAATATAATTTAGACCCTTGACCTTGCACAAGCGTGGGATAGCTGATTCCAAGATTTAATACACAAGACAGGATTTGAATCCTTGACCTTATTTAAAGGTTGATCAACTCCTACTACTAAACTACATGCTTGAAGTTATATAATTTAGACTTTAATATATAATAATTGACTAGAGAGAAAAAAAAATAGAAGAAATTGTACCGTCCAAGTAATAATCCGACATGACCTTCGTATTGGCGGTATGGCGATCATAACCTACTACCCCGCTTTAATCCGAATCCTTCGCCTACGAGAGAGGACACTCGGTCTAAACCGGACTACAATCATGTCCAGCACAATTCCATTCATCCAGAAGGGCACTCGGCATATTACCGACCTAACCTCTCGGTAGGGGGTCTAGTCGGTCGTAACCCGACTCAGCTTAGTGTACTATCTCGGTCAAAATCCGATCCAACCCATCTATATGGGCGCACTCGGTCAGAATCCGACCTGTCTGCTCTACAGGGGTAACTCGGCCAAAATCCGATTTAACCCTCCCACATAAATACTGATCCGATATTAGGAATAAAATCCCATCCTAAGTGATAAAATATTCTCCAAATATTAACGGTTAAGGAAATCCCTTGTTCCTCGGGGCCCAAGTGGCCCATGAACGACGTACCATAAAACCCAAAACCCTAGAGTTGAGAAGGCAGATTACACCCTTGAATGCTCTGGCTTTGAGGCTTGACCTAGGAAAAACCCCTAGTCCACCCCTTGGCCGGAACATTTTGGCGCCCACCGTGGGGCTACGGTGAAACTCTTCCTACGCCCCAAGTCATACAGAAAGACCTACACTTTACCATGGCAAGAGGCGGCAACAACAACAATTCACAACCCCCTACCACGGAAGAGATGATGGCCACGATCAATGGCCTACGAGAGGAGAATGCGCGTTCCAGGGAGAGAGAAGAAGCCATTCAACGTGAGAATGAGGAGATTAGGAGGAGGGCGAATGAGATGCAGGCCAGAATAACGGCTAGTACCAGGACTGTGGAGGAGGATGTCATGCTGGAGGTCCCTAGATACTTTTGACCATTTTCGGAAGCCATAGAGGCTGAGATCATCCCCAGGGATCATCGGATTCCTCAGGTCGAAGCTTTCGATGGAACGCAGGATCCCAGTCAGCACTTGACAGATTTCTGGGCTCAAATGCTGATATGTGGGGGAGGCATGGAGGTCCGTTGTAAGCTATTCATGGGCACCCTCAAAAAGGCTGCACTTGATTGGTTTAGCGGCTTACCGGATCGGTCAATCACCGATTTCGACGTGTTCAGCAGGCTGTTCATGGCACAGTTCGCCGCCAATAAAAAGAAGCCGCCGATCACGTCGGACCTGTTTGATCTCAAGCAGCAGCAGGAAGAGTCGTTGAAGGACTTCCTGCAAAGATTCAACGAGGTTGCTTTGAGGATAGCGTCTCTAGATGAGAAGATGGCCGTTATCGCATTCCAAAAGGGATTGAGGTCGGGAGCCTTCGACATTGCGCTGGAAAGAGCAAGTTGTCAGACAATGTCGGAGGTGCGAGCCTTTGCGCTGAGTCACATTAAGACGGAGGAGGGGCAGATCAGCAAGAGAGCAGCAGAAAACCGAGAAGCCGGGAATAACAACAAGGAAGGTAACAAACATCTCCGTCCACGATCGGATTGGAATAAGCGACATGATCGTTACAATACTAAGGAGGGTAACTACAGGAAGGCTGATTATGCCGCCAGGCCAAGGGTCGATTTGACACGTAATAGTGAAGAAGAAAAATTTACTACACTTAATGTCCCCAGACGTCACGTGTTGCATGATGTGAGCAGCGCATCACTTTTCGAGTTTCCCGCGCCAACTGACAGACAACTGGGACCTCTCAAAATCGAGTGGTGCGAGTTTCATCGAACTCACGGACACGCGACTGAGAGCTATTTTGTTTTGGGTAGGCAGATCGAACGCCTTATCAAGGAGGGTCGTTTGAAGAAGTTTATTGCCGGAAAGTAGGGTGAGGGCTCATCCGACAGACGACGCAGGCTGGGAGATGAAAACGCCAGGAGAGGAAGGCGTGAAGGGAGATCACCCCCGAGGGATCCCCCGCAAAAAATTACAGAAACTCACCAGCAGGCCGTACATGGGGACTTCAACACAGTCGCAGGTGGATTTGCTGGAGGAGGGCCAACTTCAGCGGCTCGGAAGAGATACTCTCGGTCGGTTTTGTCTGTGGCAGATTGGGCGAAGCCTTCTCGGCCTCCCATCACATTCTCAGATGCCGATTTTGAGGGGGTATCTCCCCACGAGGATGACCCCATAGTTGTCTCGGCAATCGTCATGGGGTACAACGTGAAACGAGTATTAGTGGACCAAGGCAGTTCGGCGGATATAATGTTTTGGGAAGCTTTTGTCGGGATGAAGATTCCAACTGATCGTCTCATGCCGTACGCAGGTACGTTGGTTGGTTTTGCAGGTGATCAGGTAATGGCCAGGGGATACGCCGACTTGGAGACAACGTTCGGCTAGGGAGACAACATGAAAACTGTCACTATCCGATACCTGGTGGTAAACGCTCAATCATCCTACAGCATACTAGTCGGTATACCAACACTAAATAAGTTGGGAGCGGTCGTCTCCACGCCTCATTTGAAGCTGAAGTACCCTTTGCCCAGCGGAAAGGTGGGCATTGTTTGCGTCGATCAAGACGTAGCGAGGAAATGCTACGAGGACAGTTTAAGGGCGAGGCGACACCTATACGTGACACAGGTTGATCGGGGTGTTCAGTCAATCGAGTTGGATCCGAGAGTGAATCATTTCGATACCCGACCAGCCCCAGCGGAGGATGTAAAGGAGGTTACCCTGGTCGAGGGGAAAATCGTCAAGATTGGCGTATCTCTAAACAAGGAAGACGAGGAAGGTCTAGTCACAGTGCTAAAGAGCAACATATCGGCTTTCGCGTGGAGTGTCGGGGATATGCCGGGCATTGATCCTGATTTCTTATGTCACCACCTCATGGTCGACCCCAAGGCGAAACCCGTGATCCAGAAAAGGCGAAAGTTTGGAGAAGACAAAAGGAAGGCTATAGTGGAGGAGACGAGGAAGTTGATGGCAGCTGGTCACATTCGGGAAATCCAATACCCGACGTGGCTGGCGAACGTAGTGATGGTACGAAAAAGTAATGGAAGTTGGAGGATGTGCACAGACTTCACTGACCTAAACAAAGCTTGCCCGAAAGACTCATACCCACTCCCCAACATAGACTGCCTGGTCGACGGCGCCTCGGGGTACGAATTGTTAAGTTTCATGGACGCCTATTCCGGTTACAACCAAATCCGAATGCACCCAGCAGATGAGGACAAAACGGCCTTCATAGCCGATCAGGCTACTTGTTGTTACAGGGTCATGCCTTTTGGTTTGAAGAACGCGGGAGCGACATACCAGCGGCTCATGGACAAAGTCCTGGCAAAGCAGCTTGGAAGGAACGTTGAGGCATACGTGGACGATATGGTGGTAAAGTCGGACAGCTTCTCTCGGCATTACGCCGACTTGCAAGAGAGCTTCGACACTTT